TTGGAATTAAAAAAAAAAAAAAAAAAAAAAACAAAACAAAAAACCAAACATGTTCTTAAAAAAACAACCTTGATTTCTGTCTGTATTAATTAAGGATGTAACAACAATGCTAAACCATTGGGATTCTTATTTTCTTACCAAAACTTAACCCTAAATTGTGTTTTTGAGCAATTTTTTTTTTGTTGAAAGATTTATGAGTTATGTACCTGTAAATGAGATTTGACATGGGCTAAGGTTAGATCTTTGACATCCATAAGCTCGAGAACTGACTTCGGTGTGGCTCCTGATTGTGTCGAGAATATGAATAAATGATTAAATTTATCGTAACCCATCAACTTCGAATTTGAACAAAAGGGGAAGAAATTAGAGGGCCGTCGTACTTTCGTGGCCGCCGAGAAGTTCGACGGCATGAACGAAGCGAGCGTGAAGAGTTGATGTCCATCTCATCCGTGGGGCTCTCATGCTTCGTTTGGCTGGAAACCTAGACAAGAACCTCGACCGCATCATAATCTGGCGGTGGTCGACGGAAGAGGGAGTAATGCCTCGGCCACCATCGACACCGATGCCGGAGGGGTTAATTGTTTGATGGTACACCGGAATTCCTCTAATGGGTTGCAAGAATCCTGGAAACGGGAGCGGGGGAGGCGGTGGTGGCGGGTTGAGCAGCGATGTCGTATCGTGGTGGAAAATGGCGGGTCGGTGTTGGGTTTTGTTTAGGGTTTCGAAAAGGGGAGCGGAGATATGATGATGATGATGAAGAAGATGATGATTAGGAGGCGGAGGTGGAGGGGGGTGTTTGGGAGTGGATTTAGTGGACTCCAAACTAAGATTATTCCAAAACCTCAAATCAACTTCTTCTTGAGAAGGCGTTGTTATCCAAGAAGAAGAGGGTTTATTGGTATTTGGAGGGCTAATTTGGAGGGATAAATCTGGCTGTGCTGGGAATAGCTCCATACGCATAAAGTTTTGTTCTTGCTTCTTCTCCTTCTTCGTCTTCGTCGTCGTTCTTGATTCGTATTTTTCTCGAGATTTAGAGATTTGTTGGAGAAGTGTGAATATGAGTTTTGAAGGGAATTGAGAGGAGATTGGTGGGTTCTTCTTCTTTTTCCTCTTTTCTTTGGGATTTTGATGGAAGTTTAGAGAGAGAAAGAAGAGAGAGAGAGAGAGAGAGAAGAAATGAGAATAGATATGAAGTGATGAATGGTTGTTTCTTGTGTGAAGTATATTTGAGAAAATGACACTTGAGGAGAGCAATGGAGGAGAGAGAAAGAGAGGAGAGAGAGAGAGAGGAGAGAGAAAGAGAGAGGAGAGAGAAAGAGAGGAGAGAGAGAGAGGAGAGAGAAAGAGAGAGGAGAGAGAAAGAGAGAGGAGAGAGAGAAAGGTTGATTCTTTATTGGACGTGGGGGTGTAGGGTACTAGGTGAGAAAGTGAGGAAAAGATGAAAAAAAGAGAAAAGGGTAAATAAGATAGGAGTTGGTTCCTCTTTTGGTTTTTTACCTTACCTCTTTTTCTTTCTATTCTCTCGCTCTTGTTTTTTTTTTTTTTTTTTTTTAATTTTATTTTAATTTGATGTTTGATCTTATGAGAAAGCAAACAATATGCAAAAGAAAGATAGAAATGGAACGAATTTGCAAACGATTTCTAAACGGTAAAAGCAGTTGGGTTTGTAACGTTTCATGTTTAAGATTCACATCAGAATTTAGAATTTATATTTGACGGTTCGTGCATGGGGCATTACATATAGTATCAAAGCGGGATCTCTCCTAGTAGAATGTGGTTTGGGAATAAACCATAGTGGAAACTGGTGGACATATGACGCTCGAGTAAATAAGAGGTACATGAATGGATTGAGATCATATTTGAATGAGAGTGGTCATGAAGAATTTTAGTGGCTTTATCATAAGAACTACAAAGTTGGTATGCTTAGCTTTGAACAATAAATGATATGAGCTGAGTTTAGATCGATTAACATAACAACAAATTAAATCTTCTACTATAGTTGTAAAGTACAATTTTTTTTCTTTTTGAATCCAATGAATTATCAATGTTTAAGATAATTATCGGTATGAGATCTCACATCAGTTAAAGAAGGAAACGAAACATTCTTTATGTAGGTTTAGGGAAACCCAAAAACTTTGAGAGGAAGGCCAGAGAGAACGATATCTTAGATAAGTATCGGTTTCGCTACGTAATTTTGAAAGACGCATTTTATACCCGTAAGGCTAATGGCGGTACGTAATGGGCTAAAACGGACAGACAATATTTGCTAGCAATGAACTTGAACGATTACAATCGGTACCTTACTCCATTAAAATAAACTCGAACCGTGAGGCTAACGACAAAACGTAACGGGCCAAAGCGGACAAACAATATCTGCTAGTGGTGGATTTGGACGATTACAATCGATGCCTTGTTCCATTAAGCTAAACTCGATCGGGCTCGATATCTTCTCTAAATTTTCATATGTACCTTTATAGAGAGGGGCATAAGGTAACTCTGAAAGACGTGTTTTAAGACCGTAAGACTGACGACGATACGCAACGGGTCTTATCCTATTAAGCTAAACTTGATCAGGCTCGATATCTTCTCTAAATTTTCATATCTACCTTTATAGAGAGGGGCATAAAATAGCTCGGAAAGACGTGTTTTAAAACCGTGAGACTGATGACGATACGCAATAGGTCTTATCCCATTAACCTAAACTCGATCAGGCTCGATATATTCTCTAAATTTTCATATCTACCTTTATAGAGAGGGGCATTAGGTAACTTTGAAAGACGTGTTTTAAAACTGTGAGATTGACGACGATATATGATGGTCCTTATCCCATTAAGCTAAACTCGATTGGGCTCAATATCTTCTCTAAAGTTTCATATCTACCTTTATATAGAGTAACTCGAAAATACGTATTTTATAATCGTGAGACTGACGACGATACGCAATGAGTCTTATCCCATTAACCTAAACTCGATTAGGCTCGATATCTTCTCTAAATTTTCATATCTACCTTTATCTGAGGGCATAAAGTAACTCGGAAAGACATGTTTTAAAACCGTGAGACTGATGATGATACGCAACGGGTCTTATCCCATTAACCTAAACTCAATCAGGCTCGATATCTTCTCTAAATTTTCATATCTACCTTTATAGAGAGGGGCATAAGGTAACTCTGAAAGATGTATTTTAAAATCGTGAGACTGACGATGATATGTAACGAATCTTATCCTATTAAGCTAAACTCGATCAGGGTCGGTATCTTCTCTAAATTTTCATATCTACCTTTATAGAGAGAGGCATAAGGCTGTTGGTGTACTGCTGAAAGTAAGGTCATTTGTGTTGGTGTTTTAGTTTTAGGGAGCCTTCTCTTTAAAGTCTTTTGTCATTTTGGGTACGAACTTGCCTTTTAAATTTAGCCTTTTTTTTTTTTAATTTTATTTTTTAATTTTAAATTGATTTATTTTTCTTATATGCTTTTCCACCATATTGTCTTTTCAATAATACCCATTTCTTACACGCAATGTTTAATTTTATTACCTTTATAATTCATTCATTCATTCCCCAATCTTTAACCAATAAGTTATCTATAATTTCGAACCCTAAACATTTAAAGTTTTTCCGTTTTAGGGTTTATCTCGGAGAAATTTTAAAATGGTTAAAATTAATCTGGTCGTGTTCAAAACAGTTTGGAACAAGTAATTCATCATTCAAAATAAATTTAATATTTAATTTTATACTTTTAGACGATCAAAATTGATTTTAAATTATTGAAAGCATGTTACAAAATGATTTCGGGGTGTTCATATGAACTGATAACCCGACCATCCAGGGCTACTTAACCCAATCCATAAAAGTTTGTGTTAGATTCTTCTGGTTTGGGTCGGGTCGAATTTTTGGAAAATTGAACATTTGGTTTAGTTTGCTGGTTGACATTTTTTTGGTACATGAATATAGGATTACAGTCCAACCCAATCTAACCAAACTCATAAAAAGATTAACAATATTTAACGTTTGTAACTGACGTTAGTAATACGTTGTAGCTTGTAAATATTTGATATTTGAATTTTACGAGATTTTAGTTATTAACGTGTATTGTGGATAAATATAATTTTTTTTTAAAAAAAGAACAACCCGACAGCCTAACTCAACTTGACAGGTTGAGTTGGTGATTGTGAACTCTATTCAGGTTGCTTAGTTCATCAACTCAACCAACCCGAAATTTTGGATTGGTCCAGTAGAGTTTTCCTACCCAACCAAACCCAACTAACTTTAATGTTCCTACTTGTCATTAGTAATTCGATCCTTTGGTCACATTTGTCTCTCGAATAAATGTCTTTGTGAGACCCCACATCAGTTGGAGAGGGGAACGAGACATTTCTTATAAGGGCGTGAAAACTTCTCCTTAGTATACGCATTTTAAAATCGATATCAGAGCTAGATACTGAGCGGTGTGCCAGCGAGAACGTTGGACTCCAAGGGGGGTGGATCGTGAGATCCACGTCGGTTGGAGAGGGGAACGAAGCATTCCATATAAGAGTGTGGAAACCTCTCCCTAGTAGATACGTTTTAAAACTGTGAGACTAACGACGATATGCAACCGACCAAAGTGGACAATATCTGCTGCTAGCAGTGGGCTTGAACTATTAGAGTCTTTTAACTTGAGTCCTCCTATAGGGGTTGATGAATTGATTCGTCTCGAGTTTAGTTAATTGATTGCATTCAAATCAAAGCGAGACATTTCTCATAAAACTTGTTAAACCGATAAAGAAATTAATTAGCGTAAAGATGTGACGAAAGATTCGAATTTTGACGATCCCATTATTATCTTAATTGGATGGACACGACAAGACAAGGACCAAAACCCACAAACATATGCTTATGATTGAATGCTATGCTTTGTCTTTTTTCTGCTAAATAACGAAAAATAGAACTTCAAAACGCACAAGGAAAATATTACTAATTTCATGACTCCTGATTTTCTCAAACTTGTTCTTTGATTTCACTGTATAAATAGAAATAAAGGTAATTGTTTGTTTTTTTCTCCATAATAGAAAAATAAAATAAAATAAAATTTATTAGAATATTTGTGACACTCAAGTAAAATATGCACACAAATGACTTGAGATCACGTCCATATAAGAGCAGTCCTTAGAATAGGATAACTAAAAAGACTTAAAAGAATTGAAAGTTACTATTTATACCAACAAGGCACTTCTTTTATTGTGGCTCAATCATAGGAACCTCGGGGTTAAACCTGTTTTACTTGGAGCAATTCTATGTTGGGTGAACTCATCGAACTTTTCCTAGAATACGAGTGAGGACAAAGCATGTTGGAAGGATTCGTGTTGGTTTGTGTGGTGGACAATGTTCACTCTTAGAAGTGAAAGGTAAATAACTTGACTATGTTGCAGGGAATGTCGGGGCCATCAAGTGTGGAATCCGAATTCTGGGCATGGGTCATTACAATATTAGATGAAAATTGGGTGTAACAACCCAAGCCCACTTCTAGCAGATATTGTCCTCTTTAGGCTTTCCCTTCTCCAACCGATGTGAGATTTTACAGTTCACCCCTCTTCAGAGCCCAGCGTTTTCGTTGGTACTCGTTCTCTTCTTCAATAGATGTTGAACCACCCAATCCACTCCTTCGGAGCCGAGCGTTCTTACTGGCACACCGCCTGGTGTCCACTACCCTTCGGGGCTCAACCTCCTCGTTGGCATATCACCAAGTGTCTGGCTCTGGTACCATTTGTAATAGCCTAAGCCCACCGCTCACAGATATTGTTTTATTTGGGTTTTGGCTTAAAACAGTCTAGAAATGTTCAAATCCCAATTCTATTCAAGTAGGTCGAGAGTAATACTGCAACTTTTAAAAGAACGAATGTAAATCTAAAACAAGTTTAGAAAGTAAAGCTCAATTGTATTTTTTTCAAACATTGTTCAATAACACAATTTGACAAAGGCTAATCCCTCGTTTTCTTTTTGGGTACCAAAATTAATCTCGATCAGTTTTATACTCCGATCAGTCATCAGCTCTAAAGATACATAAATGCCCAAACTTCTTTTGGATCAAACTGTTTCTAAATATAAAATAGGGTGAAATACGAATCAATTATGAAGATATCTACTTCATTATCGTAAAAAATAAACGGGATATTGATCGAACACGAAAAAGAGAGAAATTCCGTAAGAACGAGTTGCTTAAGGGAGTGATCGAGAAATAAAAATGAAAACTTTTTTTTTCTCACCTTTTTATGAAAAGAAAAGGTAAGATTTTGGAGCTTT